AAACAGACAACTACTATCCTGGGAGGCATGCAAGCCCCCTGATAGCAGATAACAACCTACTTCATAGGGAGGGGTTGCAACATAGGCAATACAAGCAATAGGAGGGGGATGACCTGGGGTGAACACACAATAGTAAAGGGAGGGAACAGGAGAGCATGTGTGGCAAGATGGGTGGACTCTGCTAGAGTGGTCCCAGGCTTGTCTTCAGGCATTCCTTCAAGGGAACAATGTCAGAAGGGAATTAGCCCGATTTGTTGTGGGATAAACAGTGGTGTCTGTTTGATTTAGACAGCTGATAACTCAGGGAGAATGACTCCCAATCCACTCTTGATGACCTCCAAGTGCACAGTCATTCTCAAGCAGCTAAGTCTGGCATACATTTGGGGGAGACAGCTTGAGAGAAATCCTTCTGTTTCCCATAACAGGGTACAGCATTGATTGTCCTGGTTATAACATCAAAAGAAACTATATAATTACAATGCTCTGATCTCGAAAACATGAGCGTACATTCTAAAATCAGTCACTAGTGGAACTATTCAAGATGGGAGAGGGAAGGAGACAGGTCATTGTCATTAGTCAACAAGATGGCTTTTGCAGTGGCTAGTATGACTCTGTCTCAGTATCATAAACTTGTTACTCATAGGATTGGGTGATTAGAAGACACCTACCATTCAAACAGATAATAGTCTCCTGCTTTCCCTGAGGAACCAAAAGTCAAATCCACTCTAAGGAGCCCTTGTAACATAGTGGGTTATGTCCTGGGCTGTTAACCACAAAGTCAGCTTTCCACAGGAGAAAGATGAGGCTCTGTCTTCCCTTCAACATTTACCACCTGGAACCCCAGAGAGGCAGTTCTACTCTGGCCTAAAGGATCGCTGTGAGTTGAACTCAGCCAGATGACCCTGGGTTTGGCCCCCAAGCCAGAACTTAGCGTGATCCTACAGGTCAGGGTAGAACTGCCTTGTAGGGTTTCCAAAGCTGTAATCATTACAGAGGCGGACTTCCACAACGTTCTCCCAGAGAGTAACGTTTGGTTAGCAGCCGCATGCGTTCACCAGGGCTCCACACCTAGGGCCAGCACTCTAGCCATCTGTCTTCATGTCTACTTTGCAGGGCTATAGTTATGTCCATTCCTCTGTTTCCTCCATTTGTTAACCTTTTAAGGATTGAGCAGCTCTACCAAGTTGGCCCAGTTTAAACAATTGCTGCTTTGAGTCTTCCTTAAAGTGAAGAAAGATAAAACCAAAGGAAATTCCTTGGTTCTCTCAACCTCTCCAAGACACTCTACCTGCACAGATGGCCCTCCCTGCTTCTACAATTTCTTGTCTACCTACCAGCTCCCCCCGCCCCACACACACACACACACGAGTTCAATGCCCATACTATTCCACGAGTGTAGACTGAGTGGTGGAAATTCTATACTGTTTTTCTCTACCATGGGTCTTTTTGTCCAAAAACATACATATGTGCCCAAATACATACATACGTACATACGTAGTTACATCTGTCCTGAACCATTTATAAGAGTTTGAACCCATTTTGTAGCCACTGTGTCAATCCAGCTCTTCAAGGGTCTTCCTCTTTTTCACTGCCCCTACTTTATTAGCAGGATGTCTTTCTCCAGGGACTGGTCTCTTGATAACATGTCCAAAGTATGTGAGACCAAGTCTTGCCAACTTTGCTTCTAAAGAGCATTCTGGCTGTCTACCATGGGTCTTAAGAGAATCTTTTGGCTTATGTTTTTATCCTATATATTTTTCAAGAATGCCGCACTTAAGTATATAAAACTAACTTTATTTACTTGAAATAGATTTAGTTTGTTATGCTATTACATTTCATTTTCCTTGTGTGGGAAAGTGGTATAATACTTTTTAGAAACAGTGATGACCCAAAAGTGTTTTAGTAGATAGTGCTATAAACATTTAAAAAAAAATTTTATTTCCTCCTTAGGAAGTCAAAGTACTCAGTATTGATCAGAGTACCTTCAAGTTGCGATCAATTGGGTAAGTTTTGAAAGTCTTTTAAGTGTCAGCGTTGTGAAAAATGTTAGTTATATTCTTCATTGGACTTAGAAGGCAGAAAGACAGAATCATTTGTTCTGGGAGGGTTTTGCAGGCTAAGCTTTGGGAGACACTTAGGAACAAAGGCCTAGTCCTCAGCTTGAGAGGACCAGAGACTTGTCAGAATAGTGTTGCTTCTGGTTCTTAAACCTGATAGCTAATTGGTTGGTTTGTAGCAAATATAAATATAAGTATATATGTGTGTCTCTATATATATACCATAGATACTTAGCATATATATATATATCATACTTAGCATGCATATATATATATATTAGCATATATTTAGATAGATAAACTAAGGGCTCTTCCTGCCAGGTAGGTGGAGAGCATTGACATGTCTTTTCTTAGGGATTCTTAATTTTACACTTCTATGTGGGTCAATAAAATGTAGTTTTTCTGACACCCACTATGAGAAGGGAAGAAATTCCCACTTTCCACTTCTTTTCAACTCTGACACCTGCTGCACATGCAGCATTTCTTGCTCTGACTCTAGCCACAAGCTAAGTCAGAAAGCAGCCATCCAAGGAACAATTGGTCTCTATGGTCAGCAACTGGAAAGAGAGAGGAATGTATGGCCAACTTTGCCACAAGACCAGACCTGGATGGTATCTGGCTACCATTACTGAACATGTGATCAGAGATTCTGTAGAAGAATCCTGACCCAAAGGAGAAAGTATAAAACCAAACTGCATTCTCATCAACTCTGGGCTTAATGGAACCTTGGAGGCTGGATGACCCCCTAAAACTACTGCCATGAAATAGCTCTAAGTCTGCAGCCAAAAAGATCCTCTGAAGTCTTCTTTGATCCAAATAATAAGTAGCTTAATTAGTAAGAAATGTCTGTCTTGAGCATTATGTGTTTTCATAACTGGAATCATGCAGAAGTTGTACATGGATCCAGAAGCAGTTGTAGGAACAGAACAGGAATACTGTATGGTTTAAATCAGGAAAGGTGTGCCTCAAGATTGCATCCTCTCGCCAAACTTATCAGAGAAGCGGGATTAAATGATGGCGAGTGCAGCATCAGGATTGGAGGAAGACTTATGCACAACTTGCGATGTGCAGCTGACACAACCTTGCTGGTGGAAAGCGAGGACTTGAAGGACTTACTGATGAGGGTCAAGGACTGCAGCCTTCAGTGTGGATTACAACCCAATGTAAAGAAGCCCCAAATCCTCACAAGTAGACCAATAGATAACATTCTGATAAATGGAAAAATGGTTGAACTTGTCAAGGATTTTGTCTTACTGGGATCCACAATCAAAACTCATGGAAGAAGCAGTTAAGATTAAACAATGCATTGCACTGAGTAAATCTGCTGGACTATTACGGATTGCCGAAAGAACAAACAAATCTGTCTTGGAAGAAGCACAGCCATTTGAACCTTCGAGGCAAGGATGGGGAGACTTCATTTCATGTTCTTTGGGCATGTTGTCAGGGGAGACCAGTCCCCAGAGGACATCATACTTCGTAGAGAGGCAGCAGAAAAGAGGAAGGCTTTTGACTAGATGAATGGACACTGACTGTGACAGTAGGCTCAAACATGAGAATAATTGTGAGGATGGCGCAGGACCGGACAGTGTTTCCTTCTGTTGTACACAGGGTCCCTGTGAGTTGGAACCAACTTGGTGGCACCTAACAACATGTGGGAACAATTGACATCTCGAAAGATTAGATAGGAGCCTTAGGGGAGATCAGGCATTTATGTGGATGGGGGAGGAACAACTCAGAAAAAGGAAGCTGAGAAGAGTTACACAACTTGCAGAATGTAACCAGTGTTACTGAATTGTATATGTGGAAGCTATTGATTGATGTTTTACTGTATATAGTCTCAAGGAATTAAAACAAAAAAAAAGCAACAAAACCTTATGGGGATTGTTCTCTGCTAAAACAGGGTCCCCGTGAGTTGGAATTGACTATGGCAACTAACAACAATAGCTCTGAGTGCAGAGAAAATTCAGAACACCGGTTTGAAACTGTGTACCGAGAATCCACCATAAGCAAGCGCGAGGACAGGTTTTTGAGTGCAACTATCAGCCCTATTACACATGACTGGTGCACACAAGCCCCTCAATAGGCATATGCTATAGCAAATCCTTGTGAGGTTTATCACTGCTCTATCTACTCTGCTTGTTTTGGTTTTCCAGCATCTTAACCACATTTGTAACGCTCACTGTAAAATAGCTAGAGGAAAACGTTGAATCTTAGAAATCTTAATTATGTTTCATTTTCTTTGTCAAGATGGGGAGAAGAATTTTCATTGTCCAAGCACCCTCAGGTATGTGTTGTTTTTTTAAGCCAATCTTTAAAAGCATTTTAACTACCTCACTGTAGGATCAGCATGTTGACAGTGAACTTCAACTAGGTCTAATGAAACAGTATAATTTAAAGTAAGCTTTTCTCAAACTCCTCTGACCTGTCTAGCTATATTATGGTAAAATTCTGATTTTTCACATCTGATCTGGTTAATTAGATGTTATATGACAGATGCATTTATAAAAGCAAAGTACTACTCCTGGGGCTGCTTGTGCCCAACTTAACACCTCATGGGATTTGGGTCCTTGGTTTGGACATCCCAATTAATTGGCCCAAGAATGGGTTTAGTGCTTCTGTTCGAACGCCTGTTGCTGGAGTTCACAGTACTGATGTCATTGTTCTTTTTTTCCTGTAACCGCAAACTTCAGGGAACGGAAGTCAAGGCAATAACCTATTCAGCAATGCAGGTCTATAATGAAGAGAAGCCAGAAGTTTTTGTGATCATTGACATCTGAGATGCAGAGAAGAGGTGGCTCTGAAGAGCTGTTCTTCTTTCCGGGAAGATAGCCACGATTTGACTTCTACACTAAATGGAAACATCCAGAACAAAACAAATTAGAGTGTGACTTTTCAGAACTGGAAAATCCAGAGCAGACTCGGTCAGTGTTGCTTGAATAGTCAAACCTTCAAGGATTCTTGGGTGGCAGGGATGGGGTCTCCCATCGGTGGAACACTGAGGTGAGCAGTCCCAGAGGCCCCTCCCCCAGTGAGGCTGGCTGTGGGAGCCAGGCTTCCACACACAAGCTCTGCCTTGCCCAGCTCCATGTTCTTACCAAGCCCAGTTTGGAAAAAAAAGATACAAGAATTTGAGAGAATATATTCTTATGCCTAGGATTTTGTTCTTCCAAGTTGATTAAAGCAAATAAATGACAAAAAGTTAATGGAAACAATTTATACTTTTTAATTCCATTTGCTCTGGAGAAGCCTTGATTTTTCTCATTCACACATTTTCTTAAAGCACGTTTTGACACATTTCTATTTTTCCGTAAGAAAAACTTGATACCTTTTATAGATGAGCCCACTCTTCTAATGTAACATAATTATCTTTTTAAAGCTAATAATATATTTATGTTGAAAAGGTACAACATAAAATTTTGTTTGGTTTTGAATTATTGAAACTGTTCATGTGTACAGAGACAGGAGTCTAGGGAAGCAGCCGGAAATGATCTGAATGTTTAAAAGTAGGTAAGTTAAAAAAAAATGAAGCTGCTTTGATTTGTAACTATTCTGTTCTCTATTGATTAAGGTATTGTCTCTTGTGATAAGAGTTTGCATAGTTGGTGGTTTATTTAGAAGTACCCACAAAAATATTACCACCAAGTGTTGCCAAATAACTGTATACTCTTGAATTTGAGCTGGAAGGAAGTGGTGGCTTTGAATTTTCTTTAAGAGCTCTTTCTGAGCATTGTATCACTGTATTTTTCTCTGGGTTTGGCTAAGCACTAGACTGCTATCTACAAAGTTGACAATTGAACCCCACCTGCCAGTGACTTGGAAGACAGGGTGGGGTGGTCTGTTAAGGAGAGGTTCGAACTTTGAAAACTCTCAGCAGCAGTTCTGTTTTGTTGGCTTGGGTCACCGCGTGCCAGAATGGAATGACCTCCTTGGCAACTGACAGTGTTTCACAGAAAGTAGAGTTCATGAAGACTATCCAGGAGCCTGTGGTTCCAGCAGCTGTTCTTCAAATGATTATGTTGCAGGCTCTCTGGAGTAGGGCTGCTGCTTTATTCTCAGATGCATTCTGTGAACTTTCAATTATTACTCTCCAAGCAAGAAATCTCCAGAAGAGCCTTTTTTTTACAACTTTGGTGTGGAAAGATCCCCAGGCTGAGACAGAGTTGCTTTTCATGGGCCCCTTTCTGTGTGGTGGGCACAGCAGGGGTTGACTGTGACCATCTTAATAGAAGACCAGGAAGGCGGGGGCAGCACCAGGGGTGCTGCTTCTGAAAGGTCACGGCCTGGAGAAGCCTGTGGAGCAGCGGAGTGTGCACCCTGGGCCGCTCACGAGAAGCCTGCCAGGTCTTCATTTCATTCCTCTGCCTTGCACATGGTAGGGGCTTCAGAAGTCATGAGAAATCTCACCTTCCAATAGCTGGAGGAGATTCTCTCTGAGTGCTACCTGATGAAATGTAGGAGCCAAGGCCTCTGCTGTTTGCTTGTCACTTCCTCTTTGGCTAAGAGCGGTGAGCTCTAATGGTCAAGTTTCTCATCAGTATAATGGCCAGATAATACCCACGTCCCAGGGCTGTTGGATGAAAACAAACACTTGATGCTCAATTGTTTCTCCTGCAGTGTTATGACCTCCTCCAAAAGAGAGGGAAGAAGACAGTCGGGTGAGGTGCTGTTAGCGAGAGTCTGGGAAGTGAAAGTCACTCCAGACAATCCAGGTCTTGTACTGCCCCCCCCCCAATCTTTTTCAGGGTTCTCGTTGGCTTAGTTAAGGAATCATGGTGCCTTAGTAGTTGTGCCTTGGGCTGCTAACTGCAAGGTCGGTAGTTCAAAACCATCTGCTGCAGCTGCTCTACAGGAATAAGACAGGCCAAGGCTTTCTTCTCCTGAAAAGGTTGAAACCCACAGGGGAAGTTCTCCCCTGCCCTAAAGGGTCATGGGTAGAAAGAATTGCCTTGGTTATAAACTCCTGGGGAATCAAAAGCTTGGCTTGTTCCTAGGCCCCACTTCTGTGCAGTGAGGCCTTCGGAGAAGGCTGTAGGCATATCTCTTGGTGGTGGGGCAAGGGAGAGAGAGGGTAGTAAGGACCAAAGGCAACTTTAAGGGCTTTTACTATTAGCCAGCCATAAAAAGGTAACTATGGTATGGAACCAGTGTAATAAAGGAAAAGAAATCGAGGTAAAGCTTTTTCATACCAAAAGAAGAGACTGATGGTTACCAAGTGTGAGCTGAGGTGAAGGGGAAGACGGTGCTCTCCAAGAAGAGAACCAGTGGAGAGGGTAAGTTGAATACCAGAAATGATCTGAAGTGGAAACCTCACCTAATTCGCAGTAAAAAGTTAAACATTTAGCCTTGGAAACCTCAGTAGTAGTTTTACTCTATCCAGTAGGGTTCCAGGGTAGTGGCTTTTAAATCTTTCTTTCATTTTTTTGGTTTGGTTTAGGCCAGGGAATAACTATATATACAAACTGCATAAAGGGAATGTATTTGTCATGTGTGGATTGCAAATAGAATTTTAAAAGTGGGACTGACAATGCTACTTTATTGAAAAGTTGTGTTTTATTTAAAAAATGTGTTTTTTTAAATGATACTTGAAGCAAAGTAAACATTTAAGGCAATTCACTCAAGTCCCCACCTGTTGTGTGGGGTGCTTTTCTTTCCAAAGTTTTCTACTTCTGAAAAATTTACTTTCGTTTCCAAATTTGTCTGAAGGCAGTGGCTAAGCATTGGATTGCTAGCCTTCTGGCAAGAGTCAGTTGTTCGTGGAGGCAGTTAGCTGCTGCTTCAGCCATCAGCTCCTCAGATGCCTCTCGTGACTCTTGCTCCAGGTATTTGAATAGCCGTTTTCCTTTACATAAGCACAATTATTTTAATATTCAGGATTCTGGAGCTTATAATGATTTTTACCAGCTGGACAATGAATAAAGAAGACCAGAGAAGAGCTCATTTATTTGAATTGTGGTGTTGACTAAGACTATTACTATATTATGGGCAGGGAAGAACAAATAAATCTGTCTTGAACGAAGTATAGCTGGAGTTGCTCCTTAGGAGGATGGCAAGATTTATAAGGGACCAGTGCCAGGAGAAAGATAGCATGCATGGTAGAGGGTCAATGATGACAAGAAGCCTCAGCTAGATGGTCCAACAGAGTCGCTAGCTGCTGCACTTGGCTGAAAGGCATTAGCCACACTGGTAGGGATGGTGCAGGACCAGGCAGCGTTTCCTTCTGTTTTACATAGGGCCACTAAGTTGGAACTGCTTTTATGGGTCTTAACAACCAAAGTATATCCTTGTAGGATCTTGTAAAACCATCCTAGTTCACTCTCTTTCTGCAGATTTAAGTGCAGTATTGTTTTTTCTGTTGAACCTCACATATAATTTTTCTCAGTTAATGCATTTGTTTTACCTATTTTGCTTGTCCCAAGAGCAGAGTAGTTGGTGACGGTCTTTAACTAACCCATCCGTTCAATGTAACTGATTTTGTTATAATGAATTTGATTGTTTCAAACTTTTTATGTGAATTAGGTGAAGGTAGATGAATTTAAGTTGAAAATTTTCTTTGTAGTTTAAACTACATGTCTCAACAATTGTTTACTGCAAATTTGCCTGTTTTTATAGAGGGGACTTTAGCTAAAATTTGGAGTAAGCATCTGGGAGGCAGATGTCCTAGTAGTGAATTACTTTTGCTTAATCAATGGCCTAGCAAGTACATCTGTTACACAGGGAGTCACTTGTGTAAGCATTTTTGTAGTATTAAGTTAAATTTGGAGGGGAGTGGGGTGCCAGCCCCCACTACTAGTACTACCCATGGGTTCAGTAAGCACAATTGTACGGTTGAGATATATAAGTATTAAAGTCATCGAGAGCATGAGAGGTAGAGGAGAGAGATTACATTAATGCAGTCAGACACATTACATGGTAGCATTGTTCACCTCAGCCCCGCTTGATGGTCCTCATGAGGGGAACCCGGCCACAAGAGCAGGAGCAGCCTCGGGACCGAGAACTGGGGAGCCTCCCCTGGCCCAAGAGCCAGAGAGGGCCCCAGGAATCGGGGAGAGCCTTTCTTTATTGCTAACCACCCATTATATCACCTTAGGGGGATATCATTACAGAATCACACATCACAGGAAGGGGCAGTACAATAGGCATACACTTTGTAGGAAGGGGATCTATGATAGGCATAAGCATAACAGGAAGGTGATGAGCTGGGGTGTGTCCATAGGAATGGGAAGGTCTAGGGGTGTACATGTGATAAGATGGGTGGACCCTAGATTAATGATGGCAGCCTAATATTGGTCATCCTTGGGCGGGTTTGACCTCTCTGGTGTCTCCTACAAGGAAACAGACAACTACTATCCTTATCAGAAGGGATTGGGCCCTACTTGTTGTGGGATAAACAGTGGTATCTGCTTGGTCTAGACAGCTGATAACTCTCAAGGAGAATGACCACCAATCCACTCCTGATGACCTCCAAGTGTATAGTCATTCTCAAGCAGCTAAGTCTGGTATATATTTGGGGGAGACACCTTGAGAGAAATCCTTCTGTTTCCCACACATTTTAATTAATTGATGCTAATCTCATACATTGGTATCCTAAGATGATAGTTCTCATAGGAGAAATAGTTGGTGACAGTAATAGTATGTGATTAGAGGAACAGTAAAGAAATGCTCCTGAGATTAAGTGATGTATACATATTTATGTGTACATACATGCACATGCATGTATACACATTTATATTGGAACATTTATCTCAGATTTGGTAATTTCCTTTTTTCTCTTTAATCTTGTGTAACAAATAGACTCACCTGACCAATAGATGTTCAATAATTTGGAGTGGGGTCTTGCTCTTAAAGACAAAACATTAAAAGATTGCAAAATTCCAGGGTGTAGTTTCGGTGAATAAGTCCATCTATTTATTTATTTATTTTAAATTTTAAAAAATCGTTTTATTCATTCATTTATTTATAATATTTTTGTAGTACTGAGTGAATTCCCAGAATACCTGTATCAAAACAAAATGCAAATGCAACGAAGTAAAAATGGGTTATTTTCGTCTACCCAGTGTCTGACTGTCATCCTTGTCCCCATGTCTTTGATAGTTTGCACTCAGCTGCTAACGGAAAGGTTGGCAGTTCTAAAACAGTTGGAATCTATCCCAGTGGCTGATTACAAGGGGACTTCAAAAAGTTGGTGGAAAGGGGAAAGATAATGGAATTT